GTTGGTCTGTTGCCTGACCCTTGTCTTCTGTTGTTACACCATGAATACCGTAAACATGTTCCAGAGTATTAGCGATGTCTGCACTGTCTCTGCAGAAATTTCACAGCTCCCATTACGCACCGATTTCTGGTTATGGGATTCATAATATTATCTGTGAATATTCTTAAACATGAGTATTCATGGAATTTCTAATCCTCAACATTCTCTTTCCATTTTCATTGCATCTAATCCATGCTAACGTATTTGTATGCAAATCCGTCATTTATTTCAGAGGCATACAATCATTTCATCATATCTGATGCAAATGAATTCTGTAGCAACGTAGACATGATAGACAGATTATGACAGCACTGACGCGACAATACTCAATGAATTTCTCAGTCAACCAAAATTCATTAATTGCAACAACAACAACACATGAAGATTGAAAGTGACACCCCTAAATCAGACTAGTAGCCGTGAATATACTAGTCAATGTGTCGATCAGATTTGTGTTAACAAAATGCGTAGACGATTTCGTAGTCCCATATACTCCGATGGTTGTGAGCACTTCATCAAGGACACCAGTGAGGGGGAAGCTAGACGCAACAGAGAAGGATAACGAACTCCTTAGTCATGTACCTTTGATGCAGTAATGAATGCATGCATGATAAGAAGACAGTATTTTGATGAATGTCTGACAGACTCCGTAAGCATTCTGTAACCTCAAAACCACTGCAAACTTTGATTACGTGAAAACGAATATTGAAGAATAGCGTTGGTGATCCCTTTCATGTCAACGACATCTATGGAATGTATTCACGTATAATAATATCATCTCAGAATTTAAGTAAGTTGTATTTCACGAATGGGACGAAGCATAGGCCGCTATCAAGATTCATAAATTTTATTTCTGCGTTTGAAATTTATCGCTCGAACAGTGGATGACCAACGGCAATGGAATTCTGTACAGCTTGTTTCTTAATATTTGTAAGGACATTGCACACCGTTAATTTAGTACTATTATTGTTGCCTTGCGTTCTGAGTGGTACATAGGCGTCAACAACACATCTCTACTTTCTTCTGTTTTCTGCTGTCTTCTTTAGCTGAATCCACGATTGCTCATAATCTCTCCCCTTCTCCTCGCACGATCTCTTGGCAAGTTGCAGCTGGTGGTAAACTGAAGAGTGGCATGGTGTAATGTCTTGAGGTTTCTTCGCCCTGCCATCTGCCTGTCCTTCTTTAGTCACTAGTGTATCTTAAAATAGCTTTTTGTCCTTCCTAGCAGTCTTCTTCAATTCTTTATGCAGTGCGATGAACATTGAACCCAGTCTCTCCTCATGTTGTTCATCTTTGCATTAAGCCATCCTCTCTTTCACCATCCTCCTTTCTTCTATTAGCTTCCAGGTGTTCATAGAGATGCATTCCTTGTCTTGCCTCTTCATTCCTCCCAGAAGAGTGTACACATTTCCTTGAACATCACCTCCAGAGAGAGAGAGAGAGTCCCAGTGTTCTTCCACGCAGGTTTCCTCAGTGATGCCATGTAGCATCTCCAACTTTGCTCTGATATCTACAGTGAATGTATCTTTTGTAGTATTGTCCTTCGGTTTCGGAGTGTTAAACCTGAATTACAGTGGTTTGTCTCCAGTTATTTTGAAAGATTTCTGCCTGACGTAGTAGGTTCCTTGAACTGGACGATGGTCTGGACCCACATCTACTCCTCTTATCGACTTTGTGTCTAGCAGGCTGCATCTTTATTTCCTACAGCAGCGTTGAGGCTAAATCTATGTGGTTTGTTGGGTGCCCATCAGGTGAAATCCATTCCATATTAGTTTGTTTATTAGATGTATCACACAGTGAAACAGTATTATTTACTGGATGATGTTTCGAACAAAATTTATTGTTCATAATCACATCAATTTTGATCACACGACTTTGAAATTTTAGTTTTATAGTTTTCTTTTTCTTTTTTTTGAAATCCATGTTGCTGTGTGTATGTCTTTTTGTTTGTGAACGCTGCTTCAAATCATGAAATCATTGAAGGAGCAGAAGTTTGAATACAATTCTACCCTGTCGTTCATTCTGCCAAGAGCCACTTGACCCATGACGAATTCGCCTCCTGCGTTGTTCGTCTCCACTTTGTTTTGCATTCAGATCGTCCATAAAGATTCTGATGTCTTCTTTTGGGATGTTGTCCATTACTGTTTGCAGTTGTGAATATAAATCTTTGATCTTCTCTTGTTTCGGGTTGTTTGTAGCATCGTGCATAGCATTGGATGATTGTAGCTTTCCTTACTTTGAGTTGCATCTTGCTGTCACAATCCTGCAGGAAGAGATTGATTTCCACTTCATAAGATCTTTGACTGCTATTGGTGACATCACGATAGCTACTCAGAGACTTAGTGTACTTTCGACTGTCGTCTGGGTAAGCGGAGTGTACTTCTGACTCTTCGGCAGTTGACAACTTTGACATTCCACATCCACTTAATCTGCTACGGCAGATTCCGCTCGCTTTTTTACCATTATTCCTAATTTATCCAGCTACCTGGGCAGCCTTCCAATTTCATGAATTCAACAAACATTCCACATTACGATTTCTAATCTTGCTTTCATCGAAAAAGACATATCGGCTAAATAGCTTCGTGAAGGCTTTTACCAGTCCGCTGTGGCATTTCGTCACTGTGATTCCAGTGAAGTATGTGTTCTATATTTTCCGTATTTTTAATAAATTTCTTGTGTGTTGAAGTTTCTGTAGCGGTCTGATTGATTTTCTGGGGTGTGGTCACCATTCCCATCCCTTTACCTCTTCTCCCGGCCTGCGAGCCAGCCAGAAAACTAGCGAGCTAGTAAACTAGGCGAGGTATATTGCACAGTATCATGAATAAATTCCTGATGGTTGGTTACATTTGATAAGTTATAACATTGATCGAAAAATAGTACAAAAAACAATCTCATTATTATCTGCGAACAGCCACGACAAATGTAGCCATGTGGTACTGATCAATTAAGGTGAGTAGTTGTATGCCACTAATATCAACTGGTAGTGCTTCGCAGCCAGATCCGATTGACCTAAACACTGAAAGATCACTTTGTTCGTTCGGATCTCAGATAATCAGCGGTGTTCAAATATTTTTCAATTATACTCTATTTTTCGTCAAAGACAATGATCCAGTTTATTCTGTCATTCAATAAGCGTTACCAATGTAATACAACAGCGAGACGTCATGCTTCGAGATGAAATCGTGTAAAAGGTGGTGGCAATGAAGACATGCGTTATGCATACACATCAAAATGTATTCGAAATGCATCATCAATCAATTGTACTTACTTGGATATTCTGTTGTCATTTGTGTTGGAAAAGACATTCTGAGCATGCGATCCAGGTCAGTTTCCTTGTCGAAAAAGTCGAGAATCTTCTCACTGGTCAATTTCTCCGACCTAGGCATCGTGAACAAGGAGGTTTGTGTCTCCACCTCATATTTATCTGTGAAGAGATTAAAATTTGTTTACAATGAATTCTTATTTTTTTCCTTTACGTTCTTCAGTGGAACATAGGGTTTCAAGATAGTGGCTTGAAATTTCTATAGCAGCGTTTATTTTACAGGATGGGATTGCTAGCCCAATGTCCAACCTTTCCTCTTTACTAGCATTCTTTCTGACGTAGCGAGGTAAAGGAGTTTGTCAGCCGGGATTCGAACCCTGGGCTAGGTGCATGATTGGTGAGTTCTGCGTTATTTGATTTAACTGTGGCACGAATATCTCCTGATTAAGTAGATACATAGGTGTGTTTAACATAACTGTGTCATCTTTAGACTTGATAAGTTAGGCACGGTTAGGCGCGTTCAGTGATTCTCGCTTAACCAGCTGATTATTGACTGGATCATTGATATATGGAGTCAGCATCTTATCGATGTATGATGAAATGTTTCTCTTCGCAACTGCCATATCGCGAAGACTGACAATAATATTCGACTAGCGTTAGTGGTAGGGTGATGGAATCATTTATTTCTGCTTGACAAACCTGTACATATCTAAATTATTCTGAGGTAGGTTTCCATGGTGGATGAGGTACTGAATACACATATTCTGGGCAATGATTCATTTGTATGATTTTCCTCCGTATTCGCTCGTTCTATTTCACTAATCGTGGATTGTACTGATGTACTCATCGTTTATAACAAGAATAATCATTGTATCTCTGGCAAATATTCAACAAACTTGTTTCTATGAACAATCAGTAAATGAAATTATAGGAGGGCGTTCAGTTCTTTGAGGCATACTGTTGACATGAACTGAATTCCTTCCGAATGTTTTCATATACTGAGTAGCTTACAGAATGACACTCAGAAAATATCTGTACTTCTTATATATGATTTGACCTACCTGACGGCTTCCATTGTCTTGCTTCATAAGATCGGCGAATAAATCCTTGTTCTTCAACTGGCTGTTAACGAAGTCGAGCATTTCCTTGTCCGACACCTTTTTGTTGCCCAACTTGACTACCCATGTAGTTTCCACGATCTCGTCATCATCTACACGACAGATAAAGTGATAAGTGGTAAAGTGGTAAGACACGATACTTAAGTTATTCTTGTGTTAGTGTTATTTTACTTGTCTCAGGGAAAATTCAGCTAGAGCTTCCACTGAAATCGCAGTTCGACATTGATTCTATTGAAATCGTTACTTCAGTAGGTCATAATTGGAGCTGCACACTTCATGAAACTTTTATCTCGACTGGTTTGTTGAGATGTTAGTCCTGAACCGAGACACGAAATTTACATAAGAGTTTTCAAATATACACCACAACCACAGTATACTATGCATTCGAATCTTAGTCATAGTACTTGTTATTTTTGTACAACTACAAAAGGCCATCAATCAGTAGTATGTTTCTTTATATTCATTTCAGGAGAGCATGACACTTCTGCTGATTTAAGTGTTTGGAAACCGTTCTCAAGAACCACTTTGAAAGCAACAATTAAGGTAAATGTGAAACACGAAAATATGATCAACTTGCTTACAGAAGTCGTCTTTTGAATCATCCGGTCTCTTTTGACTGTACAAAACAGTCTTCTTCATAAGTGGATTAATGTCATTGTCTGAGGTTTCCCCAGATTTCCCTCGTTTTAATACACGCCTTTTCGGTATGGATGATTGCGGCCTATCATTATCCATGCTATTATCATCATCATCACCATCATCGTCATCATCATTTGTCTGGTCACCCGTTTCGCTAGGTTCAACTGTCAATCAAATTGAAAAAATGTTTGCATAAGACTAGGAGGCAAATGAAATCATGAAAGGAAAATATGCCAATCAAGTTTAAATTTTGATGGAGATAATATTGTAAAAACTTGAGGAAAACTGTGGGGAAACGGATCAAAACTTTCGCCCATTCCCCAAATGCCTCGAACTTAATCGAGATTGCTTCCAAGTTGTTCGCTAGGATGAAATGACACCAAAGTCAGGGCGAACAAATTCAAATATGAACTTGAAAAAAATTGATTGAAAACTGTCAGAGTTGTGCACTTAAGAAGAGAATCAAGGAAGTAAGCAGCGAGAAGACTTATCTAGTGGTTAAATATTCAACGAAATATGGGTGTTACGAAGTGGAGAATGAGAATGGAAACCAGGTAGAGATGAAATGGCAACACAGGGATACTACTGACAAAGAAATGAAAAATGTACAAGGTGAGAATGTGTAAAACACGTATAGAATGTAAACTGTGTTTCATTTCTGCACATTTTGTATCCTCATTCACTGTGCACGATGGAGGAGAGGGTAAGCCATAAAAGCCACCCGCAACTTGAACAACCAGTCGGAGTTTGGTGATATAGATAGTGAACAATTTTAAGTAAACTGTATTCTGACATGTGTAAAAAGCCGCGCTGCTCCTGAGTTACTGTAATAAAGTTTCCTAGTTTAGTAGAATAGATAATACAGGAGACGGAGCAGAATCTATTAAAAATTCAGCGGAAGTTCTGTTAGTCAGAGTCATCTAAAATCTGTGTTCAGAATCACTGCAGAGTGCTTTCACCGTTGTTTGAGACCATTAAATATCTATTGTCTGTGGTTTTGTTCCTCTTGTGGTTGACGCTGCAATAAGCCATTAAGGTGAGTACGTACTGCTAAAGAGTACCAAACTAGGACAAAACAGCTATTCAGTACTCTCAGGTTTTCCAATGGTTCTATAATCAGTGTCAGCTCATGATGAAATCCTGTAACCAAACAAAACCTTACAAACCAACACTTAAAATAGGTGATTTCTGTTTGATAACTGGGTTGGTATAACCTCAAGGGCATTAGGACTTATTTCCGGTAAAATCACAAGTGACACGTAATTAAGATGTTTTGTGGACAATATCACCTCGAATTTCAGTCAGTACGTTCGCATGAGTCTATCGGCACGTGAACGTTTAACACCACTTTGTGTGATTCTAGAGGATTGGGATGAATGCATTTTGTCCTGCCAGTGATTAGGATAGTTTGTTGGATGATGGTGAGTGGACGTTTGTGTGGAAGACATATGATTCCTCCAATGAGTCAGATGGACGTTGAAAGCCATGGCGCAGATGTCGACCGACGTGGATTCATTCTCTTTATAATATGCCGAGGTTGATATTTCAAGTATATGCATATTCCTGTAAAATATAATTCGAGGTTTCAGGATGATTTACATCGTAGTAAACTCAAAAAAATTTGCAGAATACTAAAACTGATAACAAAAAGAAACATAAGAAAGTTTAAACAATTAACAAAAAATATATGAAGAAAATTATGGAGTAAACAGATAGAAGAAAAAAAGTACTCCAAAATAAATATATGATGAACACGACTGAAGATCATGAAGTCATCATGTGGTGGTGGCCAAACAAAGCGACATGAGACGAAACGAGGGGAAAGAGAGCGTGAGGTGTGGTCAGAAAATACTGGCTGTGTGAGAGGAATGAGGCGAATGACACTTACCGATTTGTGAGTGTCCGCCTGTTCGCCTCCTTGGTCGTCGTTGTTTACCGATAACCCTTCCCTTCTTGTCTGTCACGTTGACTTCTTCTTCTTCTTCAGCCGGTGTCGTCACTCCACCTGCAAGAGAGAAGGAGGAGGATGAGGAGGAGAAGACAGTGTCAAACTCTCAGACAATCGATAAATCGGTGACTCCGACAGTCAGTCAGTCAGTCCGTCAGTCATTCACGCAGTCAGTCAGAATATCAGTTAGTTAGTCAGTCAGTGAGACTGTGAGACAGTCAGACAGGAAGCCAGTGTCTACGGTGATTCACTCGCTGACAATACACCCACCAACTAATGTCCAAATGCACCATGCACCAGTTCACTCAAACAATCTGAAAACAACCCACCCATTATCTCATGACACTCGTGTCTATTCAATTCACTTCACTCCCATCCCACTCGATACGCTAACACATACACCTCGCCACACTCATTTCTCCCACCCCATTCAACATCGAGTAGGGCTTCTCTTCGATCATCTCACCCTCACCGATCAATCACAACAAACGTCACTCAGTATTCCGATCACTCGAACACACAATCACAGTGATAAACACCCACTCAGGCACCCACTCACTGAATCACTCACTCCCTCACAAATCCAATACAGTTCAAATAAATTAACACAGAATCACATGCGGAATGTCTGGCTGAGACACACATCACAATTCATCGCCAACACCACAGATATATGTGGCCAAGACCATCTTCAGCACAGCCACCATCACCACCAGCGAAACCAACATCAGCTAGACCACTTGCTACAATACCACCATAAACACCATCAACATCACCATCATCCACAACCTCATCCTCATCATCTTAGTCAAACTGATTACACTGTTCGATTCACTGTCATTCAGACGAACACGCCTGCAGATTCATGCAGTCATCATGTGGTGGTGGCCAAACAAAGCGACATGAGACGAAACGAGGGGAAAGAGAGCGTGAGGTGTGGTCAGAAAATACTGGCTGTGTGAGAGGAATGAGGCGAATGACACTTACCGATTTGTGAGTGTCCGCCTGTTCGCCTCCTTGGTCGTCGTTGTTTACCGATAACCCTTCCCTTCTTGTCTGTCACGTTGACTTCTTCTTCTTCTTCAGCCGGTGTCGTCACTCCACCTGCAAGAGAGAAGGAGGAGGATGAGGAGGAGAAGACAGTGTCAAACTCTCAGACAATCGATAAATCGGTGACTCCGACAGTCAGTCAGTCAGTCAGTCAGTCAGTCAGTCCGTCAGTCATTCACGCAGTCAATCAGAATATCAGTTAGTTAGTCAGTCAGTGAGACTGTGAGACAGTCAGACAGGAAGCCAGTGTCTACGGTGATTCACTCGCTGACAATACACCCACCAACTAATGTCCAAATGCACCATGCACCAGTTCACTCAAACAATCTGAAAACAACCCACCCATTATCTCATGACACTCGTGTCTATTCAATTCACTTCACTCCCATCCCACTCGATACGCTAACACATACACCTCGCCACACTCATTTCTCCCACCCCATTCAACATCGAGTAGGGCTTCTCTTCGATCATCTCACCCTCACCGATCAATCACAACAAACGTCACTCAGTATTCCGATCACTCGAACACACAATCACAGTGATAAACACCCACTCAGGCACCCACTCACTGAATCACTCACTCCCTCACAAATCCAATACAGTTCAAATAAATTAACACAGAATCACATGCGGAATGTCTGGCTGAGACACACATCACAATTCATCGCCAACACCACAGATATATGTGGCCAAGACCATCTTCAGCACAGCCACCATCACCACCAGCGAAACCAACATCAGCTAGACCACTTGCTACAATACCACCATAAACACCATCAACATCACCATCATCCACAACCTCATCCTCATCATCTTAGTCAAACTGATTACACTGTTCGATTCACTGTCATTCAGACGAACACGCCTGCAGATTCATGCAGTCATCATGTGGTGGTGGCCAAACAAAGCGACATGAGACGAAACGAGGGGAAGGAGAGCGTGAGGTGTGGTCAGAAAATACTGGCTGTGTGAGAGGAATGAGGCGAATGACACTTACCGATTTGTGAGTGTCCGCCTGTTCGCCTCCTTGGTCGCCGTTGTTTAGCCATAACCATACCATTCATGTCTGTCACGTCGAATTCTTCTCCTAATTCAGCCTGTGTCGTGAATCCAAACGCAAGACAGAGGGAGGAGCACAAGTCACAGTCAGTCAGTCATTCAGTCAGTCAGTCAGTCAGTCTGTCAGTCAGGCTTCAATTCGCGTCAACAGTCACTCAGACACTCAGTCACTCAGTAAGTCAGCCACTCACGCACTGTTAACGCGCATTCACTCACCGAATATACACCCACCAACCAATATCCAAATACACCATGCATCAGCTCACTCAAAATCTCAACGGAACACATCACTCTCATCACGCTCGTGGAAATCGAATTCGCCTCCCACCAAATCAACTCCATTCCCTGACACCTACACCTCGCCACCTACTATTCCACTACTCCATCACATACAACTACACTCAATCAATCAATCACCATCTCCTTATGAATAAAACGAAGTCTCTCACACACAGATGCACACACAAGCACACAAACGCACACACATCGAAATCGATGGCCAACACCGGAATCATGTTGGCACGACAACCCTCGCCACACGTGACTATGCACGAAGTCATCAAGGGTGTTGGTGGACAAGCAGATCGACATGAGGAGAATGAAGAAAACTGGCAGCGAGTGGTTGTGTTTGTGGTGGTGTTGGTGGTGATGGTGGTGCTGGTGGTAGTGTTGGAGGTGGCGGCGGTGGGACGACGAAATTGTGACAGTGTGAAGGGAATGAATGAGGCGAATGACACTTACCGATTTGTGAGTGTCCGCCTGTTCGCCTCCTTGGTCGTCTTTGTTTACCGATAACCCTTCCCTTCTTGTCTGTCACGTCGACTTCTTCTTCTTCTTCAGCCGGTGTCGTCACTCCACCTGCAAGAGAGAAGGAGGAGGATGAGGAGGAGAAGACAGTGTCAAAATCTCAGACAATCGATAAATCGGTGACTCCGACAGTCAGTCAGTCAGTCAGTCAGTCAGTCAGTCCGTCAGTCATTCACGCAGTCAATCAGAATATCAGTTAGTTAGTCAGTCAGTGAGACTGTGAGACAGT